AAAATATATTTATTTTACATAATATTTACTAAATCAGAATTTAAAAAAATTGAAAATGAATTAATATAAACAATAATTTGATTCAAAAAATAATATATAAAAAATACATATATGTATATAAAATAAGATTTATGCTTTAGATGAGAACATCTTGGTTCTGTAATAATGAAATTATTAAAAATATGACTAAAAAGGAAGCAAACACTGTAACCAACAGGCTAATCCAATAGGTCTTTGTGTACTGGGAACTATATTTCCTCTTATGAAGACCTGCTTACACAATTTTTATGTAGAGAACACTGTAAATATGACATAGCGACAGAGGCGGACAAAGTATTCAACTCCATTACTTGAGTGAAAGTACAGATACTGCTGGTCAAATATTACTCCATTACAAGTAAAAGTTGTAAAGACAGATTTTTACTCAAGTAAAAGTAACATAAGTACCAAAAGTAAATTTCCTTTCTTATGTCAATGCACTGTTTTATTGTTGTACGTAGTACTTGCAATACTTCTGAAGCAACTTAGAATACATTACACCTACTGAATACAGTACAGTGAAATCCTGTAAATACAGAGTGATAAGGAAGAAAAAAAAATCAAACCTGCTGTAAAACCCAGCAACACAACTGTAGCTGTATAACTTTACAACAGCAACACTGCTTTAACAGCAAAGCAAAACAACAAGACTTATTTGACATCAAAACAAACATTTTAAAAATGCTGTCTAATCGCTCTCGCTGTACTTTAATGTCACACACAGAACGTTCTGCAGTGCTGCTTCAGTCAAACACCTTTTGTGTTTTATTAGGAGATGCACAACAGTTCTTCTGTGGCTTTATAGGTAATATTTTCATGTACACAATTTAGCAAAATCAGACAGTATTGTGTGTAATGTATACCACAATATTAACAAGTGACATGTGGCCAAGTATAGTGACCCATACTCGGAATTAGTGCTCTGCATTTAACCCATCCAAAGTGCACACACACACCCCCGGAGCAGTGGGCAGCCATTTTTATTTTTTTTTTTGCTGCGGCGCCCGGGGAGCAGTTGGGGGTTCGGTGCCTTGCTCAAGGGTACCTAGTCGTGGTATTGAAGGTGGGAGAGAGTGCTGTACAATACTCAAGTAAATGTACTTAGTTACTTTCCGCCTCTGCATAGCGACCAATTCGATTTACCACCAAAAATGCCAAATATTGGCCGATATAATGGTCTTGCTGATATATATAGGACTTCCACTGACCATTTTTAAATATACGGTTTTTATGACATCATATTACAGGGATAGTTCACCCAAAAATCTAAATTCTGTCATTAAGTACTCACCCTCATGTCGTTCCAAACCCGTAAGACCTTCGTTCATCTTCGGAACACAAATTAAGATATTTTTGAATTAAGTACTCACCCTCATGTCGTTCCAAACCCGTAAGACCTTTGTTCATCTTCGGAACACAAATTAAGATTTTTTGATGAAATCCAAGAGTTTTCTGACCCTCCATAAACAGCAACGCAACTGACACGTTCAAGGCCCAGAAATGTAGTAAGGACATCAATAAAATAGTCCATGTGACATCAGTGGTTCAACCTTAAATTTATGAAGTGTGGTGAATTGTCTGAATGCGCGTCAAAGACTGACATGGAAGAGAGGAATTTGAACATCTTTGGGTTTGGAACGACATGAATTATTAATGTAATTAAGGGCAGAAATTTAATTTTTAGGTGAAGTATACCTTTAAGTGGCTTGACAGTTCATTTCATTTTGTAGGATTATTTGCATAATCTTCGTTTATTATTGGCATTATTATATGCATTATTTTAGCAAACATTGTAACAGGATCATTATTTTCCTGTTACTTGATGCATCAATGTTTCATATTCCATGCATCTGAGAAGTACCCTAGCTCTGGCCTTGTTGAAAGAGTTGCCCATTCATAAGAATCCCACCAGCGTGTCCCAGGCCTCAAAGACACCCAGCGCTTTCTTAAATCTCTTGTGTTTCTGTCACTGATATAGTTAAGCTTCACTTTACTGGTAGCTGTAACCTTGTCTTATCTATCATAGTTACACTTGATATATTCCTAATCACATGCCTATATCAGTTTCCGCTTACAGTAATTTAGATCTTGTGAGTAATTTGAAATCTAAGTAGTCTTTACTTTCCCTTCTCCTTTTCCCTTGTGTTACTCCTTTCAAAATCATCTGCAGTTCCTGCCATATTTTCACAACAAATCCCGGTTCATAACCATATGTGGTACCTTTTGCCTTTACTGGGATGTAGTTACAAATGATTAGTTACAGATGTTCTTACCACGTATCGTTTCATACTTTTCCTCTGAAGAAAGGAGGGGGTGAAGAAAGATACTCTGGTCGTTTTAGCAGATTTGTACAGGATTAGAATGTCAGGATGAAATGCCCTCTGGAATAACATGTCTTTTACAATTTTGCGCAACAGGTACTGTGGATGTTTGTTTTGCGGGGGGGAAGGGGTTAGTGTGGCCTGGAGGTAGTTTTACATTTCCCGGCAGAGCCTCTGTTTACCGGACTTTGTAGAAATGTGTGAGAACAGTTTGTGTCTGGTTTGCACAAGCTCGCTGCACTGGGTTGCACAACAAGGATATATTCCTATGTCTGAGGATCATTAGTGGATGCCTGCAGAAACCCTCCCCCAAATCAGTAACAGGAAGTACGGTGGCAGCTGTTGCAACACCAAGCATCATGGGATGCACCGCAGACTAGCCTGCACAGCTGGAGCTCTGCATGGCCCGCACAGAAAGAGTTTTGTTATAGAAGAGAAAGAGAAACTTAGTATTCACTGAATTACCATTTCAAACTCTTTTCCCAGAATTGAGGATATCTGTATGGCCAAGTCCAGCCTCCCTGTGAAGGGAAAAGGTGTGGTAATGGAGAACGTGTGGAGATGGTTGAGGCATGGAGTTTTTTACCATAGTGTTTGTAGAGTTCCTGCTGTCAGTTTTTTTTTGCTTGCTGTCTTTTTAATTGTGTTGATGCATAAAAGTGGAAAAAACACTCTCTGAGTGAATAATCATCTTGTGACAGTGAGTCAGAGTTGGGCTGATACGCACACACACAAATGCATACATATGCAGAGACATGCATAAAACCCATTGGGCCGTATTCATAAAACACAAGCAGAACGAGTTTCTGCGTAAATCATTCGTACAGTAGTTCTTATGTAACTGTTGCATTTAATTCAATCTGACATTTTAAGTCAGAATGGATTAACAATTGATTGATTTAGATAAAAAATCTTCTGCTTGAGTTTTTTATGTGGGGTACTTTATGAATTTTGCTTGTACTGTCAGTTCATTCTCATACAGTTAAACTTTGTAACATTTAGGGCTTTTATTTGGTTGATCTATTTATACAATACCATTATTTTTTTCAAGAAATACCTTTATTCATCAAGGATGCATGAAATTGCTCAAAAGTGACAGTAAATACATCAAATCAGCATATTAAAAAATTAGAATTAGAATTTTTGAAGGATCATGCTGAAAATTCAGCTTTGCCATCACAGGAAACAAATAACATTTTAAAATAGGTATTTTACATTGTTATAATTTTTCACAATAATAATGTTTTACTGTGTTTTTGATCAAATACGTGCAACCTTGGGAAGCATAAGTAGGGCCCTATGAAATCCGTTATATTTTCATCCATTCCATTTCTATCTCCCAAAATATGTTTTATTATTTTCCAAATTCCGTTCTTTCTGTTTTAATTTTTCTGGATTTTTTTTCCCCCCTTTAAATTTCCCCCCCTTTAAAAAGTCATTAATTGAATTTTATAAAATATTATATTATTTTATTTATTTATTCAGAAATACTGTGTTGTGTATTTATGTTTTCCTGTTAAATAAATTCTGGTAAATAATTTCTCTGGTAAATATTCCTTTGTTTTTTAGTAGTAGTAAAAGTTTATTAGTAGTAGTAGTAGTATCATTACGTTAAGTAATATATTTCTGTCACAGTTTCTTCAAGTTAAACCAAACTTTTATTTTGACTGGTTGTGGTGAAGACCTTTATGACGATAGTTTTTCTCCAAAGAAACTGTAAAATGCTCACAAAGTGACTCTCAGAGCAGTTCTAGTGATTGTACTCATATATTGAAGCGGCAGATGCCGAAAACACCACTAGCGTTAGGCGTGCTTTAGTATGTGTAGTAATTAATTCACAAAGAGATGCGCAGAACATGCATGATTCATATTTAAATAGTATTTTTACGGCTTAATATTCACAGACACTAGTCCATATTGTGTTTTGATTTAAATCTACTGTCCTACTTTTGATTTACTCTTCCCTAATTTGACAAATAAGTAGATTTTGCCTTATTTTTGTCTTATTTTGACAAATAAGTAGACAGTAGATTTTGATTTAAATCTACTGTCCTACTGTTGATTTACTCTTCCCTAATTTGACAAATTCCATGACATTTCACGTTATTCAGTAAATTCCATTTTTGGAATTTGGACTGGATTCTGCAATTCCATCCTCGTTTTCCGCCATGCGGAAATCATAGGGTGCTACATAAGATACTTCTTTCAGAAACTTTATTCAGGTGCACAAACTTTTTTTTTAACACTATTATAGCTAAGCTATGAATGGCATAATCTTGTACCAGTGAGATTTCAAAGCACATTAATAACAGCAGTGTAGTTGGTGTTAATGTGTCTAACTATTGTCTTGTTTTCTTGGTTCTCCTTTGATAGTAGCCTGATAATGGGGCTATGTTTAAGTACACTGACAGATACAATCAGATTGTAGCTCTTAAAGCTTTTTTGTAGCTCTTGTTTTCAGTTTCCTCTTTTCCAGTCCTCCCAAGTTTTGCGGTGCAGCATCTTTCTGCTGAGTCAGACAGAAGCTGCAGTTATGACTGACTAAAAATAAAGCAAATTCTGAAAACATCTCTCCCTCTCTTTCCCCCCCTGTATTCCTCCTCACTCTCTTCCTGTCTTGCTTCTCTCTCACAAACTCAGATGTGGAGCAGATGGCTATTGACTGGCTGACAGGAAACTTCTACTTTGTGGATGATGTGGACGACCGCATTTTTGTGTGCAGTAAAGATGGCTTAACCTGTGTCATCCTGCTGGACCTGGAGCTCTATAACCCTAAAGGAATCGCACTGGACCCAGCCATGGGGTGAGACCCCAAGACCATTATTCCTTAATTCTTGTCTGGACAAACAATATCCAACAATGTCCCTTATGCCACTTTTAGTTCTCTGCAGATGTATCTCAACCATGCCTTTTTGTGACTGACTTCAAAGTCATGTCAAGACTTTGCATCGTACCACAGTATCAGTTCCTACAAGTGTCCATGATTCCTTTTTTCCCCTGTAATGATAGCATGTTCACTTCTTCAACTTGCTGTAATTTTGAGATAATAAAATGAATTTGGATTAATTTCCCATAGCTTGTTCAACTCGTACTAAAAATAAATATAATAAAAAAATGTAAAATAAAGAAAAAAGTTATTGTTTTATGCATTTATTAAAAATTTTTTTTTTTTAACTTTTATTTTGGTAACATTATTATCATAGCAAATTAAGCACATTTATGCCCTAAACCTTTAATACTATGATGTGGGGAAAAAAATCTCAATCATATTACTGCAAAGAAAGCATAAAAATGAAATATTATTTAATTGTAAAGTAATTAAGTCTGGGTAGTATTTGTTATATTTATTTATAATAATTTATTGTTATATATATGATTTTGAGGGTTAAATATTATTAAATAAATAACTGAGTCTGGACAGGATTAATCTAAATAGAATAATCTACAATAAAGAGTGTTATAAAACTGCAAAAAACAAATAAACATCCAGATGCATTGTAATAGTAAAAATTGAGAAATGAAAATTTTCACACAAAACAAAATCCTAATTGTTCTAAATATGAAAGTTCATCATGTGTGAAAATAATACAATTTATTTATTAATTTATTACTTTTGCAGTTTAATTGTATATCGTAAAGTTCTTCTTTTCTTCTTTTCCAGAAAAGTGTTCTTCACAGACTACGGCCAAATCCCGAAGGTAGAGCGCTGTGATATGGACGGCCAGAACCGCACCAAACTGGTAGACAGTAAAATCGTCTTCCCTCATGGCATCACTCTGGACTTGGTCAGCAAGCTGGTGTACTGGGCTGACGCTTACCTGGATTACATTGAGGTGGTGGACTACGAAGGCAAGAACCGGCACACCATCATTCAGGGATTGCTGGTACGCGTGAAGTGTCACATGCACATTTGTGGATGCCAAACATGTACATACTGTTAGAGATTTGTTTGTTTGGAGCCATGAACTCTATCTCAGGATGTCATTTGCATTGACGTCATCACTCTTGAATTTCTGGAACTGAGAACATCACATGATCAGCAAGACTGAAAGATCAACATTAGCTCATCCAAAACCTGCTGCAGCAGTGCAAACTGGGCATTGTGCAAGTCAACAGTGTCACTCTTTTTTTTTTTTGCTTCTTAAAACATTCAGTCCTTTAGTTTACATTCAGCGTATTGCAAAAATAAACACTGGATTGTTCAAACTTGCACTGTTCAAAATCAGTATCTGATGTTGCAATACTTTTGCATAGGGATGCACATTATATAACAGTAACATCAGTTAAGTTATTTTTTAAAAATAATTATAATGTAATAACAAATCAAAATGATCTCAGACTGTACATCTAAATTGTTGTGATGCCTAAATTCACTTGTAGCATTTAAAATAATTGATTTTTTATGTTTTGTTTCTGTTTGTTTTTATTTATTTAGTTACAGAAAATAGTATGTGTCATTGGTTCTCAACCAGCAAACTTCCAAGGGGACCTTAAAAGTCACATCTGTATTTTCAGTTATTGCTGGGATCATGCCAGAGTCCAGTCTCTCTTAAACATATTTTATTAAATTGTGCTGGTTTAAGTTCTCTTAGGAAATTATTACTCCACAGAGACTCTTTTTTTAACAGAGTCAACCCTGAATCCATTTTACAGTTTTTATCTAAAGCAATCATTAAAAACTGGATATAGTGTTTTAAATAACTCTTTTATACTTTTTCTTATTTTAATTCACCTCCTCAACAGCCGGTTTTTTTTTTGTTTTTTGGAGAGCCGAGAGTCTCACAGTGTTTGAAAACTGGGAAATATGAGGAAGTCTCATTAGTGTGAATTTTAGAACTGTAAAAGTCACATAAATTGAGTAAATAGGTAATTGAAATTGAGTTAAACACGGATCCTTGATGTGGACAAGGTGAGGCCTTTAAGTCAAAGAGGTTGATAACCACTTGTATAGGTGATCATTCTCGCCAATATATTGATCTATCATTTAACACCTTGCATCAGATGGCAAACAGTGTATACTCTGTCACACACTTTATTCACAGAGGCTCTATTTTTATGCTTTTTTTTCTTTGTTTTGGCAGATTGAACATCTCTATGGTCTAACAGTGTTTGAAAACTATCTGTATGCCACCAACTCTGACAATGCCAACATGCAGCCCAAAACCAGTGTGATCAGAGTCAACCGATTCAACAGTTCTGACTTCCAGGTGGTGACACGCTTAGATAAGGGTGGTGCCCTTCACGTTTACCACCAGAGACGTCAACCTGCAGGTACGACTGTGGGATTTAGTTTTAAAATGTTTCTAAATGTAAAGTTCAGCAAGTGCTCAAGCATTTTAATTGTAAGGCAGCATGACTCAGTACTATTCATTGTGGTTTCCCCACTGGTCACTTATGTTAAAATTAGGCTTTTGTGTTTGTTCTTACAGTCCGCAGTCACGCATGTGCTCCGGATCAGTTTGGGAAGCCAGGCGGCTGCTCTGATATCTGCCTGCTGGGTAACAGTCACAAGAGCCGAACCTGCCGCTGCCGTTCTGGTTTTAGCCTGGGCAGTGATGGAAAGTCCTGCAAGAGTGAGTAAAATCTCAATCCATCCTGCTCAACCAGTTTCAAACAGTGTTACACAACAGCATTCCCCATTATAGGGTTTTCTTGCATATAATATATCACGTTTTTTCTCCTCAGAACCAGAGCATGAGCTCTTCCTGGTGTATGGTAAAGGCCGACCTGGTGTCATCCGTGGTATGGACATGCATGCCAGGGTGTATGACGAGCACATCATCCCCATCGAGAACCTGAATAACCCAAGAGCCCTGGACTTCCACACTGAGACCGAATTCATCTATTTCGCTGATGCCACCAGCTACATCATCGGCCGCCAGAAGATTGATGGCACTGAGAGAGACATCATAGTGAAGGATGGTGAGTGCAGAATGATGCTGGGATGGATTTTGTTGGAGTGACGTTGAAGGTGGATTAATTAGATGGACAACTCCTGTAAAGAATTGTTAAGCTCTTAGGTGCTACTTAATACCCGGTGGCAACCACCAAAAATTGTCCGGTCAGAACAATAAAGTTATGTCAGTTGGAGGAGTTAGCAGCACACACCACTCACAGACCACTCATTTCAGAATTTGAACAGCTTACTTGAGTGTGGTTCTAGAAATAAAAACTACAATAATAAAGTATAAGTTTACATTAAAGAACATCCAGTGGTGTATAAAGTACCTGAAAGCCATACTCAAGTAAAAGTACAGATATCTTACCAGAAAATGACTGGTAGAAGTTGAAGTCACCGTTTAGAATATTACTTGAGTAAAAGTCTTAAAGTATGTGATATTTATTATACTTAAGTACAAAAAGTATTTTTTTAATTTTAAATGTACTTAAGTATTGAAAGTAAAAGTACAAGTAAATGCAAAATGGAAAAGAAGCAAATAAATATATATAAAAAATTTTCATACACAGCTTGAGTAGCAAGATTGTGTTCAGTTTTAACTCTTTCTTCCATTTTGTATTTTTGGGTAAGAATAAGAAGCACTTCATCCAGTAATTAGTGTCTTTCATTCCAACATAAGAAAACATTTCTGGAATCTGCATCTGAAGTGGCATTTAGATGTATTTACACAGTTTATGTATCTCCGATGGGACATGGATGCATTTAAACTGCAGTTACAGATGCATAAATAGGCCTAATGTTTTGTTTTTAACATAAAACGTTGAATACTGATATTTGAAATAATTTAAAACATGAAAAAAATAGTCGAAATGTGAAATTAAAACCGCCAGTAGGTGACAGCAAGTGACTGTTAATTAGTGAGTCATTGAGATTCAACCGATTCATTCAAAAAGCTGATTCATTCAATAAGTAAACACATTGCTCAGAGACGCAAAACAGTGCTGTGTGTTTGGAACTATTTTCTTAGGCAAAATTGAGCAAAAACAAGCAATATTGTCTAAAATGTCAGTCACTTACTGCTTTACTGCACTTGTATAAAATGATTATTAAATGTGTTCATGCTGATATCTGCAGAAAAACTGTACTCTTTGTGTGATATAGATTAAGTTAACTATATTAAATTATATAAATATAAAAAGCATACAGAGATTAAGTTAACTATATTAAATTATATACATTTAAAAAGCATACAGAAGCATTTTTGCCATCTACAATTTAGAATGCCTGGAATTTTGAATTTTAATATACTAATATATCAACGTGCGTGCGCTCTGTGTGTAATTTGGTGATATAGCCTACTTGATAATGTCAGATCGCACACATCATTAAAATAACACTTACCATATTATCGAAGATATACTGTATATCATACACCCCAGACTCGACTTGAGTGGAAAATGAAATCATCCGCGGTTGTGCGCGCACTTGTTTGCACATGAGCAAAGGTGTTTTTATAATAATTTAATTAATTTTAATTTAATAATAATAATAATCATTATGCATTTAGCAGATGCTTTTATCCAAAGAGACTTAGTGCATTCAGGCTATACATCTTTTACCAGTATGTGTGTTCCCTGGGAATCGAACCCACGACCTTTTGCACTGCTAACGCTCTACCACTGAGCCACAGGAACATCTATGAGTCTAACTTGCAAACGCCAGCCCACTGATTCGTCAAACCTGCTTTCCTGCAGTCCGTGTTCTTCTGACTATTTTGTAGTAAGTAACGAATATGCTTCGGGTAAATGTATCGGAGTAAAAGTATATATTTTAATTAGGAAATGTAGTGAAGTAAAAGTTGGCTGAAATATAAAAACTCAAGTAAAGTACAGATACTCCCAAAAAATACTTAAGTACTGTAACAAAGTATTATTACTTCGTTACATTACACCACTGAGAACATCAATATGCAAATGAACAACAATCGGCATTTGTATGTCAATAACACACGGGAAATGTTTATACAGTGATTGCATAACAGGATAAGCTTGCGATTAGCTTACAGAGACATGTGTTATGGCATACGCGATAAGCACGTCTTTAAACATAAATTAACGGTAGCAGTGTAAATATACAGTATAAAGAAATTAACTTACTCTTTGATGCATGCACACATGCGATTACTCATCAAAGCATCGGGGATGTAATGACATTGTTGTCACCGTTAGGTCCATCGATCTCGCGCTTATAATAATAACAGCGCTTACACCTTTTCTAAACTGCGCCAGACTTACTGCGAGACTAATAAACACACAATGAATAAAACTATTACACAAATAACTGCCTGAACATTCAAAACTGACCCTCAATTTAGTACAGCAGCCCCCAAATGTGCTTGCAGATTTGTATCTTGGGCCAGTACTCACAGTAATTCAGGGAGTGAATGTAGCTTAATCAGTCTGACAGCGGGCCTGATGTAGGTTCTGTCTTTGACCTGAACCTCCGCAGCTCTGACTTTACCATCAGCTCCAGGTATGACAGCTTTCACCTTTCCAATGGGCCAGAGTGCTCGGGGGAATTGTGGATCAGCGATCATGACTACCGTCCCAACTGTCAGGTTATCTTTCTCTTGTTGCCACTTCTGGCGAGACTGGAGTCCAGGCAGGTAGTTACGCAGATAACAGTTCCAGAACTGGTCTGGTTTGGCTGTGTCTCCAGCGTTTGCGGATGAGCAGTTCAGATTCAGGCTAAATTACCTGAGGTAAAGCAGAATCCAGTCGTCCCATCAAGAGTGAATTAGGCGTTATTGGGTCTGGATCAGCAACATCAGAGTATACATATCCCAATGGCTTTGAATTTAGAATTCCCTCTATTTCAATTAGGACAGTCCTGAGCACTTCTTCTGTGACAGTTTGTGCACCAATGGTTGTGTACAGTGCAGCTTTAACAGATCTAATCTCTCTCTCCCAGGATCCACTGAAGTGTGGGGAGTTTGGTGGATTGTACTGAAAGTCGATCTGTTGCTTGGCAAGCTCTGTTTGCAACTGTGTGTGAATATTGTTGAAGGCTTCCTTCAGCTCACGGTCTCTGCCTTTGACATTGCTGCCCTGATCGCTGAGCAGCTCGTGAGGTTTTGATGGTAAATGGGCCGAAACAGTTCATGCCTGTGGAGTAGAAGTCTGGCTGGAAGAGTCTTAGGCTGGAAGGGGGTAAGTCTGCCATTTTAGAGATGTTGGGCTTGCCACACCATTTCTGACGGTCAGTGCAGTGATGCTGAATTGATCGAACAGCTTGACAACCTCTCAAGATCCAGAAGTGCCTTCTGATATCAGCAAAGACCCGCTCAGTACCAGGGTGATGTCGCTGTGTGTCATACTGCTTGATTAGAAGTTTAGTCACTGGATGGACTGGGTCTAGAACAATAGGGTGCAGAATATCAGGGCTCAGCAGATGGCATCGTCTGAGTCTTCCACCTACTCTAATCAGTTGACTGTCGGGATCAAATTCAGGAGCTAATGTCTTTAAGACGGCTGTTTGGGGAGATGGGTTTCCCTGCTTGAAGCTGGTCGTACTTGGCAGGGAAGCTTTCCATTTGAGACTGTTGGATGACAATGATTTCAGCTTTCTTATATGTGTCAGACGTGACAGTGTCTGTGGGACTGGCTGCCCCATGAAGGGATTGGGCTGTTACATCAAGAAGCTCTTGAAAGTTGACATATTGAGATGTAGCACCTGGATGCTTCTCATCCTGAGTTATTAGAAGATGGAAGGATGTTGGTTTACGCAGTTCCTCTGAGGTAGCAGTTGGGTAATTTTGGCCAGTGCGATGGAGGTTTCTGCAAGAATGCTGGGCCATCCTTCCAACGGCAAGGTTTTGCATGCTGAGACAAGGACATGCCACGAGTAATATCATCAGCGGGGTTGTCTTGAGAGTGCACATACGACCATGACTGTGAGTCAGTAAGCTCTTGAATCTCTGTGATTTTAGTTCCCATGAACACTTTGAAGTGGCACGAGTCTTACTGCAGCCAGTTTAAAACTGTGGTAAAATCAGTCCAGTATTTGAAACTGCTGATGTCTAGTGTGAGCTCTCTTTGCAGAACTACTGCCAGTTGTGCTCCAGTTAGAGCTGCGCAAAGCTCAAGTCTGGGGATTGTTTGCTGCTTCTTTGGAGCTACTTGTGATCTAGCCACCAAGAATGACACCTCTATATGGCCTTTGTTATATTCAGTGCGGAGATGTGCTACGGAGACGTATGCCCAATCTGAGGCATCACAGAATATGTGCACACTTCTTGAACTGGTCAAGGGATCTAGCTTCGTAGTGTAGCATCTGGGCAGCGTGACATTTGGGAGTTGTGGAATCTTGTCTTCCCAAGTGAGCCATGCGTTTCTGAGGTCAGTGGGCAATTCATGGTCATCCCATTCTCTTTTTTGTCCCAGAGCCTTTGTACTATGATCTTTGCTCGGGTGGTAAATGGAGGGATGAATCCCAAAGGATCATATTGACTTGAAAGGATGCGATAAATGTGTTGCATAGTTGGCTCAGCTTTTATGACATGGCCATGTTTGTATCCAAGTGTGTCGGATCTGCACTGCCACCTAAGTCCTAGTGTGCGTTCCTGAGGGTCTGCCCTGTCTGAACTGAACTAAAGCTCATAGTTCTCTGACCTGATTTGCTGCGGCAGATGTTTCAGGATTTGAGGAGTGTTGCTAGCCCATTGGCGCAGTTCAAATCCACCCTCGGCTAGCAGATGTCGCATGTCATCCACTAGATGCTTGGCAGTATCAAGAGAGGGAATACTTTGCAGCCAATTATCTACATAAAAGCAACACACTTGATGCATGTACCTCACTGTCTGGTTGGCTGTGATCGGCAAAATGTTTCCGGAGAGCAAAAGTTGCACAGCATGGGCTGCAAGTGGTACCGAAGGGTAACACTGACCACTGGTAGACATCAGGTGGGCTGGTTGTGTTCAGGTCTCGCCACAGGAATCGCAACAATGCTTGGTCTTCTGTCAGGATAAGGACCTGATGAAACATCCCCTTTATGTCGCTGCTAATGGCTACTGCATGCTCTCAGAAACGGAGAAGTACCCCCAATAAGTTTGCACCCAAAGTCGGTCCTGGAAGAAGGTATTCATTCAGACTCAGTCCTTGAAAGTTGAAGGAACAGTTGAATACAATCCTGTTCTTGCCGTTGTGGTGGACTATGTGGTGCGGAATGTACCACCCTTGAGTCTGTACGGCTGTGGATTGAGGGATTTTCTTTACATAGCCTGCCTCTAGCAACTTGCTTATCTCAGACTTGTACACTTGAGATTTCTCAGGGCTCTGGGACAGCTGATTTTCAGTCCGCCGCAAATGAGGCAGTACTGCTTCCTTTGGAGCAACTAGAGGTGGAGGGCTAGTTTTCCAGAGGAGAGGGGTAGCATATCTTTGCACACCTTTCACCTCTACCCTGATTGTTTTCTCCTCCAACATGTGCATAGCTTCTGTGTCTTGCTTTGATCTTGTCACAAGCTTTTTGTTGCGATAGGACAAGATGTCCATCTGCCATAACTTTTCCACTTGACTGAACAGATCATTAGGCACAGGACTGATGGATGTGCTTACCATGAAGGCTGAGTTGCTGAGCTGCCTCATCGAAAAGTATGGTGCGTTCTGATCCATCATCTAGCAGGGCATATGTATCCAGTGAAATGTCTCCGTTGCGTATGATGACTCTGCACAGTTTCAGTAACACTTTATTTCTGCCTGTTGGACGATCGACATACAGAGTTTCTACTGTGGTGCTGGCAGACTTGGTGATCTCCTCTGTTGCTTTGGTACCATGAGCACTGTTGTTGACCTCATTCAGGACTTCTAGGTGTCTCCTCTGACACTTCCTGCATTTTGCTTTAAGAGTACACTGACCTGCTTGATGATCATGTCCACATTTCCAGCATCTCTGATTTGATCTGATCCAGGTCTCAATCTGCTCTTTGGTCAGCAGTTTAAAGTTTGAACATTGGTTGAGATAATGTTGAGTTGTGTTGCAGAAGAGGCAGTATTTCTTTGGTTTCTCTTGTGATCTTATCTCAGAAATTGCACTTTACTGAACCAATTACGCCTTGAGGACTTGCCGTTGCTCACTTCCATGGAAGATGGCAGTAGGTTTGTGTGAGACTTTCGGCGCTCTTCGCTGTTCTCTGCAGGAACTCATTCTCTCTCCACTTGAGTCAGTTCTGAATTGAGTATCGTCCTTTAACCGGGCAAACTCACGTGGATCTTCTCTAGTGAAATCAGGAATAGTAGGGGTTGGACCACGGTAGATGTTCTCTTGACTAGGTGGCAGTGAGGAGCAATAAGGCACATATGGTTGCTGTCGCCTTGAGGGAGGGCTGTAATAGTGTGTGGATGGCTGCCTTGGGTGCTGGTAGCGGTCGTCAGCATGCTCGGCCCTCTGGGATGTTGCTGCACGCTCTGGTGGTGGCGAGGCTGATCTGGATGTCTTGGAACTCGCTTTCATCCTCTGAAGCTCATGGATGATCTCATTTATTCTGTCACGTTGACGTTCAGCGCTTAACTTATTCTCACTACATTTCACTGACTTATCCCCTTCATAGCGTGGATCTCTTTGATCTCTTGAAGACGTTACTCTGTGATATAATGTTGAGGTAGAGGCTTGTTCCTCCATATTACGTATCAAATGTCTGAGCGAATGAACTGGCTGAGATGGAGACCGTGGTCTTGCAGAGTGAGCGGCAGAGTGTTCTCTGAGGTCACGTCTAAGCTGGCGGTTCTCCTCTTCCAGATCCTTCAGGCGCATCTGCAGTACTTCAGGAGAGAAGTGTGGATTCCCTTCATAGGCAGGAAAGTGATCAATGCCAGAAACCAGGATGTTGCAGTGCGGTAGTGGACCTCCTGTAGCCCCAACTAACTGTTCTCCCTCGTTGGAGTGGCCTTGCGGTACATTCAGACAGGGCGTCAGCGTCGACGCTTGATGGAGGGTGTTTCTGAAGCTTGGTGCTGACGCGACCATCATAGTGACAACAGCCAATCACATTAGTTTTCTGTTGTTGCATGATCGCGATTGGCTAGCGTCTGAACCAGGGTATTTGCATAAGGTGATCTGATTGGCTGACGCCTGCGTTGGTGCTTGAAAAGTTGAAAAGTTTCTTGCCGCAAGCAACGGACCCAACGCGACGCAACGGACCCACAATTAAGTTCGGCAACGCTTGACGTCACTCCATTCAAAGTAAACGAGAGGCGTTGACGCCGACGCCCCGTGTGAATGGGGCATTAGGGTGTGTGCACTAATCGCTGCTCTGGCACATGTGTTGTGCTTCACAGAATATTCACCAGATGGCTCATGGAACAACATACTATATCTACAGGCCAGACCGAAATCGCTTATAAACACTTTGCAATTATTCGTCTTCGACCCATTGTTAAATATGCTTATAGATTATTACAGAACGTTACATTTTAAAAATAGAATTAACATAACATAACTATCAGTGTCTGATAAATTATTAACTGCATATATTGTTGTGATTGTGAGAAAACATCCACAATAAAATAAAATAAAATAGTATTAGACACAAATATTTGATATGGTAATACGGACATTGAAAAATCTATGTACACATGAGTGCATTAGCGTAAAGCGGATCATTATTTGATGCTTTGTAAACAATTTATTGCTCTAGCGCTGCATTTGGGAGATCATGTTTACAGTAGGCTACACAACTATTAATTCATTGTGAATATTTAACTTTATTCAGTTGTAAAGTTATTTGAAAAATGAATGTGTCTACCAGCTCATTATTTATTATTTGTTTTGTTGTTGTTGTTGTTCCAATTTTAAGATGCCTGCTCGTGCGTGCAAAAAGAAACCGTAAAGTGCAACAGAGAATTAAGTGTATAATAAGTTAGCCTAAAAATATACCAGCATCCAATGCTGAAACAAACATCAATCATGTATTTTACAATATTTTACAACAGACCTTTCATGATGAATTTTGGTAAATGCGCTTTAAATTTATATTCATAATAATGAGATGGTTACTACACCTTTATTGGTTAATTTTTTGTAAGGGGTGACCAGATTATTATTATTTTATTTTTTTTATTGACCAGTCTTTAACTACCATTTGTAACACATTTCAGTATGTATAACTGCCTATAATGATTGTGCAGTGGCGGCGTTTTACAAAATAAAAAATCCAATGGCACACCACTAAGCACTATAAAATAGGAAAAAGCATAGAAATATAATTAAACTCCTATATAACGAATACATTTATAATACAACTAATTGTATATAATTCAACTCCTATATCTCTCTCTCGCTCTTCTTCATCCCATTCATTTTGTCTATCTATTCCACAGGTATTCATACAGTAGAAGGTATCGCTGTGGACTGGATGGGACAAAACCTGTATTGGACTGATGATGGACCCAAAAAGACTATCAGTGTGGCCAAACTGGAGAAAGCCTCTCAGACCCGCAAAACGCTTATCGAGGGAAAGATGACCCATCCTAGAGCCATAGTAGTAGACCCTTCTCATGGGTAAATCAATTATTTTTGCTTGATTGCAAAATTTTAAGAAACTGTCAAAAAAAAACATACACTGGCAAACTATCGACTATAATGTTAGGAAACGTTAGTGATTTTATATATTTTAAGTCACAATAGACTTATAATTAAGAATAGATTTTAGTGACCATGTATATACAGATAAACCAGTTAGAGCTGCACTAGTTGTTTACTTGAATCTACAGTTTAAATAATGCATAAATCTTAGGGCTGTGCAATTAATCGCATGCGATTGTCATGCACATCTCGTCAGTAAAGCTGGTTCCGTGATTAGTAGTAAATCTCCATCACCTGCTTTCAGATGGAGCGGCATTTACTCCACAGACATTAGGCAATATCGCGTTCGTTATCGCAGATTGAATCATCTGCGATAATGAACGCGATATTGCCTAATTGTCAGTGAACTACGGCTCTGTGTAGTAAATGCCGCTCCATCTGAAAGCAGGTGATGGAGATTTACTACTAATCACGTAACCGGCTTTACTGACGAGATGCGCATGACAATCGCATGCGATTAATTGCACAGCCCTAATAAATCTGTGCTGTTTTCAGAATGATGTACTGGAGTGACTGGGAGGAGGAGCCTAAGGAGACCAATCGGGGCAGTATAAAGAAGGCCTGGATGGACGGTTCAAATGCTGGTATCCTGCTTACTTCTAAAACTGTGCTCTGGCCCAATGGCCTCAGCCTGGACATCCAGCAGGGCATCTTGTACTGGGTGGATGCGTACTACGACCGCATCGAGATGGTGCTTCTCAACACCACAGAACGCAGGGTGAGGAAACTCAAGTGTTTAAGGCAAACAGGAAAGCTCAAGTTTGTATCTTAGCTAGAGATACTTAATATGTCATTATACTATGATGACCAAATTTCGCAAATGAAAATCAGGGACATTTCCTAGTTTACTGGTCAAAATATCATTAAAATCTCACTTATTATCTATGAATTAAAAATGTTGTTTATTCAATATACAATTATTATAGAGAACATATAACGAAACCGTTTTAATTTCACATATATTTATTTTCTAATTGTATTTAATGTTTTTATTTTCACCAACTGTGCATGTACTGCATACAGTAATTTTAACTTTTTCTTTATACGTTTTGAAATGTTATTTTATGTTTGCGCTATTTAATTAGGCTTATTATTTTAGACAAATTTTAATGTTAGTTAAAATGTTTTTTTGTTTTTTTTTGATTATGATACTGTATTATTACTGTGGTATGCAACTGCAACCACATGTTCTGGACTTGGAAAATGTCTTGTCCATGTATGTAGGAATGTATTTGCTTCTGTCATTGTGCAGTGTCCTTGAGCTTGGGAAAGGCGCTATATAAATTAAACTTATTATTATTATTAAAAAACACTTTTCTGTTAATCCAGACGGTATTTGAAGGACAGGAGCTGAACCATCCCTTTGGCCTGTGTCACTATAAGAACTTCCTGTTCTGGAATGAGTACCGCAGTGGAGGAATCTACAAACTGGACCAGAACACCAAGAAGGCCACGTTGCTACGCAGTGAACGACCACCAATCTATGAGATTCGCACCTATGACGCACAACAACAGCAAAGTACCGAACACCCTGAGCATTTCTTTTTGGAAATTAGTCATTAATGAGTCATATGTAAAGCATGAGCTGACAGATCAGACAAAGACTTAATTGTGTTGTTTTGTATGTTAACATGTCTCAACAGCCACGTTATTTATACAGTGTTAGCGGTAACAAACTAATGAGATCAGAGTTTCAGTGGTTTTATTGTGTGTTTTATTGGGATCTGCTAAGGATGTTTTTGTTGTGTGCAGTCACAGGCTCCAACGTGTGCCGTGCCAATAATGGTGGCTGCAGCAGTCTGTGTCTCCTGACGCCCACTGGACGCTCCTGCGCCTGTGCCGACGACCAGATACTAGATACTGACAACAAGACCTGTAAAGGTGGGTATTCTGTGCTTTAAATAGCCTGAAGTGTAAATGTTATTGTCAGTAACCTCAGAGGATTGTAAAATGGCCCGTTTTGGATTTTGAGTTTGAAAATATTTTTTTTTTTCTCACCAGCAAACCCTTCCTACGTGCCTCCTCCTCAGTGCCAGCCTGGAGAATTTGCCTGTAAGAATAATCGCTGTATTCAAGACCGCTGGAAGTGTGACGGGGACAATGACTGTCTGGACAACAGCGATGAAGCCCCTGAGTTATGCCGTTAGTGCCCTTTTGTCTCATATTTTCAGATATGCAAATAACAAAACCAGCATTCAAAAGTTTTTTTTTTTTTTAATGTTTTTTGAAAGAAGTCTCTTATGTTCACAAAGTCTGCATTTATTTGATCAAAGGTACAGTCAAAAAAGCAGTAATAATATGAAATATTATTATCATTTTAAATAACTTTTTTCTATTTTAATATATTCAATGTGATCAAAATACTGTATGATATGATCAAAAACATTTCTTAATATTGTCAATGTTGAAAACAGTCCTGATCCTTAATATTTTTTTTCTTTGGAAACCATGATATATATTTTTTAAGATTCTTTGACAAGTTCAAAAGAACAGCATTTATTTAAAATAGAAATCTTATGTAACATTATAAATGGCTTTATAATTTTTTATCGGATTCTTTCACTCACAGAATAAGATAATCAGGTCTTAATCGTGGCATTAGTAACTGTTAATTTTTGCTTTTGTGATTCATACATCCATACCACTAGGTGTCAGTATAAATCACACTGTTATATCAGCCATCAAAAGAAGCAAAACATCACTGAGTGCACATTTAAATGGTCCTATTTGCCCTGTTTCAGACCAGCACACCTGTCCCGCGGACCGCTTTAAGTGCCAGAATAACCGTTGTATCCCACTGCGCTGGCTTTGTGATGGAGACAATGACTGTGGGAATGATGAAGATGAATCTAACAGCACCTGCTTGGGTATTGTGAACTTAATTGCATGTTAATAAGATTTTTAAGCATTTTTTCCCAATGAATGTCCAAATACTTTTATGCGCTTTGTGAATTGACCAGGTTTTCTTTTCTCTCCCAGCACGCACGTGTCCTTCTAATCAGTACCCATGTGCCAGTGGCCGTTGTATTCCTGTCTCCTGGACTTGTGACCTGGATGATGATTGTGGCGATCGCTCAGATGAACCACCATCTTGTGGTATCTAAATTTAAGCCTCTTTTCCTTTTGTCATCATGCCGTGCTGTGAACCCTTTTCTTTAACTCCTTCTCTCTCTTGTCTCTCTCTCCAGCATATCCCACCTGTTTCCCACTCACTCAGTTCACTTGTGCCAATGGACGCTGCATCAATGTCAACTGGCGTTGTGATAATGGTGAGTTTCTAATTCCATATACACATAAGTGTATGTGTGATACGATGACTTATAATGTCCAGTAACTGTCATCATGTGTGTGTGTGTGTGTGTGTGTGTGTGTGTGTGTGTGTGTGTGTGTGTGTGTCTTCAGATAATGACTGTGGGGATAACAGTGATGAAGCCGGCTGCAGTCACTCGTGCTCCAGTGTGCAGTTTAAATGCAATAGCGGCCGCTGTATTCCAGAGTACTGGACCTGTGATGGAGACAACGACTGTGGAGATTACAGCGATGAGACTCATGCCAACTGTACCAATCAGGGTGAGTTTGAAAAGTATCATTATTTGATAAAAGAAAAGAGGTCTTACTCCAAACATATAGTTTAATTCAGTTTTTGGGAAAAATGACTTCAGTCAGTTATTTGTTTAATTTTGTTATTTATTTTTATTTTAAAGTATTTTAAATTATATAAATTGTGTAAATTAATAGTTAAATTAAGAGTAACAAAATTAACAAATATGAAAACAAATAAAAACGTATTTGTTTACTAAAAATAAATATAATGTTTATTGTTAGAAAATAACAGTTTTGTTTGTTTTATTTATTTATTTTAATTTTTATAATTTGTTTAAATAAATGTACTTTTGTTTAAATGTACTCAGTTCTTTCTATTATCAATGTTGAAAACGGTTGTGATGCTTAATATTTTTTTGGGGAACTATAATATATTTTTTTGACAAGTTCAAAATAATTGCAATTATTCAAAATAGAAATCTAATGTAATATAAATGTCTTTACTCTCATTTCTGGTAAGTTTAATTTGTTCTTGCTAAATTAGTGCTAAATAGTATTAATGCCTTTCAAAATAAAAAGACCCCACACTTTTGAACTAATATATATATATATATGTATATATATATATATATATATGTATGTA